TGTATCATTGAGGGTGCGAGGGGTCTGCAAAGGAGCTTCTAAATATCTAAAATTATACATCTCAGCATCCAGCCTTTTTGTCTGTTCCTGTCTTCTTCTGTTCACGAGTGCGAGCCATTTTAACAGTCACATTTGGAGTAATCTTCAATGAACGTTTGACCCTTTAACAAGCTTCATCTTTTAACAATCTGTATGGCACTTAAAATCTCATATACTTAATGTCCTCAGAGTACTTTAGTTGTCTGGTTTACAGACAGATACACCAATTAAGTGTAACTCTTCAACCAGATGGGGGATCTCCTGTCTGAGACAAGGCAGTGTTCCAGGTAAACGCAGACAACTTCTGCTTAGACTCCCAAGGCAGGTCACTTGCTCAGTGGGTCTTTTTATATTGGGGTTGCGAGGTGGGTTCCTCTGGAATAGGTCAGAATCTTGAAAATGCTCCTATTTCTTCTTCAAACGTGTTTTGTATTTAGTGTTAGGAATTGAGTTATGGCGAGGAAAAGACTCTTTGCAAACGAAGCTCAGCCCTTTGGCAGATTATTCAGAACAAGCAACACAAAATTAATTGTTTCGGTTCTGCTTTGGGGGACGTGGTTTGGGATTTGGGGTGGAAAACACTTGAAATAGGGTGGCAGGAAGGTGCGATGGTGGTGGGATTGGTGTTTGACTATTAAACGTAATGAATTATTTGTGAACAACTTTATAAAAATGAAATAAAACTGAGCTCCAAAATAAAATGAAGCTCAGCTTATTGGCATAGGAGGTGAAGGGAAGGAGGAAGGGGGGAAGCCTGGGTGTTGTGGGGTGCCATGGAAGGTGCTGGAACTGGTGTTGGGGGCAGACAGCTTGGGCAAGGACCTCTGCTGTAGGCTCCATGTGGGCATGACCTCAAAAGACCCAGGTTTAGAAAAACTAACGCATCCAAGCAGGTGGCTTCCACAGGAGAATCGGTCTCTGCCTCGGCGGTCAGCGACTGAGTCTGGCTGTCCCTCCAGGCCATGTGTTCACGCCGTGGGCTGGTCGCTTTCATGGCTGTTTCCCCTCTGGGAGCATCCCTGTGCCATGGTATACCGAGGACACCTCGCACACGTTTTCCAGCTTACCTCGCTTGGGGTGGAAATGAAAATAATGAAGTCATCAATGAAAGGAAAACACGCCGGAGGGTTTTTAATTCTCCCACAGGCGGCTGTGGAGGAACAAAGAGGCAGTGTTTCCACGCGGGCTGAATCCAGCTCGGATGCAGGGATGTGGGGCCGTTCCTCGATGCGTCGCCTCCTCCCTGAACAGAGCTAGGGGCATGCGGGGTGTATGGGAGGCTCGTCCCTCCGAACCTGGGCAGGCGTGGGGACACTCCGCAGGGCTGGGCTGACCATTCTGGCATAAGCACCCAGGCTGGGCTGTTTCCCGTTATTTTATGGGATGTTGGGGGGGCAGGGGGACCACCCAAAACAGAATAGTAGGACCAGACAGAGCGATAGCACAGCAGGTAGGGCGTTTGCCTTGCACACGGCTGACCTGAGTTCAATCCCTGGCATCCCATATGGTCCCCCAATTACCGCCAGGAGTAATTCCAGAACCAGGAGTAACCCCTGTGCGTCATTTCTGGGTGTCACCCAAAAAGTTAAAAAAAAATGGCAGAATAGTTGCTGACCCTGAAAACGGCTGTGGAGCCAGGGTCCTGACATGAAGCCAGACTGGCAAAAGCCCCCTGCTACGCCCCCATCACTGCTGACAGCTCCTGCATTGGGGTGGCGTCAGGCCAGAGGCTGGATGGGAAGGTGCAGGGTGCTGGGAGGAAGGAGATAGGGAAAAGGTGCTGCCTACAGGTTCACAGAAATGACAGTTCTTTTGGAAACAACCTGAGTGCCCAAGAACAGACAACTGGTTAAAGAAACTTTGGTACATCTATACATTGGAATACTACGCAGCTGTTAGGAGAGATGAAGTCATGCAGTTTGCTTATAAGTGGATGGCCATGAAGAGTATCATGCTAAGTGAAATGAGACTGAAAGAGAGGGGCAGACATAGAAGGACTGTACTTATTTGCGGAATATAAAGTAACAGAATGAGAAACTGACACCCAAGGACAGTAGACACAAGGGCCAGCAAGATTTCTCCATAGCTGGAAGCCTGCCTCATGAGCTGGGGAGAAGACAGCTGAAATAGAGAAGGGATCAGTAAGTCAGTGATGGTTGGAAGGATCGCTCGGGATGGGAGATGTGTGCTGAAAGTAGATAAAGGACCAAACGTGATAACCTCTCAGTAAGCGTATTGCAAACCATAATGCCCCAGAGTAGAGAAAAGTATGGGGGAAATTGTCTGTTATGGAGGCAGGGGAAGGGTTGGAAAGGGGGATATACTGGGGACATTGGTGGTGGAGAATGTGCACTAGTGGAGGGATGGGTGTTTGATCATTGTATGATTGAAATTCAGACATGAAAGCTTGTAACTGTATCCTTGTAACCTTTTCTCTCTTCTCTCTCCCTCCCTTCTTTTCTCTCCTCTCTCGCTCCTTTTCTCTCCTCTCTCCCTCTCTCTCCCTCCCTCCTGTTCTCTCTCTCCCTTCTTATCTCTCTTTTCTCACTCTCTCCTTCCTTTTCTCTTTTTTTCTCTCTCTCATTTTGCATATTGTGGTTTACATTATAGATACCGAAAGGTTAATCATGTATATCCCTTTACCTACTTTTAACACTGAGTTCTTGTCCAGCGTGATCATTTCCAACAATTATTATCATCCTGATCCCTTCTCTATCTTACCTACCTTCCACTCCCATACACTTGTGGTAGATGCCAACCATTGACCAGTCCTCCTGGCCCTTGCCATAGAGGCAGGCTGGGGCATAGGGGAGGGGTGTTAGTTGGGGGGTGTTGGGAGGGAAACTGGGGACACTGGTGCTGGAAAATGTACACTGGTGGAGGGATGGGTGTTAAAACACTGTATGACTGAAACCTAATCATGAAAAGCTTTGTAAGAATCTATGTCACAGTGATATATATATATTTTAAAATTTATTTTTAAAAAGTCTCTTCTTTTTTAAGAAGAAAGTACTTGCTTCCTTTGCCCCTTCCTCCCTCTGTGGATGATTCTCCACTGGGTGCAGACAGTATCAGTGAAGGTTTCCTGGGCCAAGAGTCCTTTGTGAACTAGAGCTTGAACAAAGAATCCTTGTCCCTTGGCAGATCATGCATGGGGCTCTCAGCACTGAGGGCCTTTGGGGGCATGCCCTTAATTCCCCCTTTTTGTCATCCGTGAATGCCATCTCTATCTAGAATCATTGGTCCCCATCCTGTCTACTTTATGCCAGTATTGAATTTTATTTTTTTTTTGGGGGGGGTCACATCCGGCGATGCTCAGGGGTTACTCCTGGCTCTGTGGACAGGAATTACTCCAGGTGGTTCTTGGGGGATCATATAGGATGCCAGAGACTGGGCTTGGGCTGGCCGCATGCAAGGCAAGCACCCTATCCATCCATGGTACCATCTCTCCACCCCATGCCAATATTTGAATTTTAAAACTTTTTTTTTCTTTTTGGGTCACACCTGATGATGCACAGGGGCTACTCCTGGCTCTTGCACCCCCTTTTGTGGATTGCTTCATTTCAAGGAATTACTCTTGGCGGTGCTCAGGGAACCATATGGGATGCTGGGAATCGGTTGACTGTGTGCAAGGCCAATGCCCTACCTGCTGTGCTATCACCTCAGCTTCCAAAAATCTTATTTTTCTTTATGTTTCGTTATATCCTACACCAGAGAGGGCTCATTCTAGAGAGATACGTAGTAAGTGAGCAACAGCTCATTATATCCTACACCTGAGAAGGCTCATTCTAGAAAGATACATAGTTAAGGACAAACGGCTGGCCAGAGGCAACATAAATGGAGATCTGAGCTTGCCTGAAGGGATGGTCCCTTGGGCACTGCTGAGGGAAGTGAGCACTCTGCTGGTGAGTGCTGTGTTGGAGTGATGAATGAAGCTGTCAGTAACAGTGTTGCAAATCCTAGTACATCAGTTAGAACAAAAAGAAGCTGAAGGATTGAACACTGGACCGATGGGCTCATGCCAGAGGACTTCGTGCCCTCAGCCTCTCTTGCCAACACACACCTTGAACGTTCTCCACCAGCTGTCATGGAAGGTAGAACAGTAATCTCAGAAAGGTCTGGGAAAAATGTGTCTGACAAGAGATTTGGCTGGAAAGGAACTTCCAAGTGAACTGCAAGTGTTTTACATTTAAAATATTCATGTCACAGAACATTGAAATCTATTCTTTTATTTAAAAAAAAAAAACCCTAAAAAACAAAGCTCGGGTGGAGGTATAGCCCAACAGAGTGGGTCCTTGCTTTGCATTCAGGAGACCTGGGCTTGGTTCCTTGCCCTTCCTGGTCCTTGCTGGGGGTGACTCCTCTGCACAGAGCGGTGGCATGTAGCCCTTGAACATTGCTGGGGGTCGCTCAAACAGTGGTTAAAGACCACTTTGAATTCTTGCTGCCTCTACCTCTTCCCAAGAGCACTCACTGTTACATTGGATGGATATACTTTTACACCCCCTGAAATGCGTGAATAAGCAGGGACCTATCACAGAAGACCTATTGGCAAGAGGCTCTAGGGGAGGCCGGGCCTTAGACCAAGAGAGGGTCTTATGGATACAATCTGAGCTTGTCACTGGTGGTAGAGCTTTATTCCACACTGCCCCCTTTTGTAGATTGCTTCATTTCAAGGAACTCTAGGCGGCTATCTTGGTCCCCCCCCTCCCCCCAGATCTTTCTGGCCAGAGCAGCCACTGATTGATATATTTAGATGCTTCCGGAGTGGTGGCCTGAAGGTCGGGGTAGACGAGATGGCCCCAGGGCCATTGGTTTCAGGACATCCATGGGGTCTTGCCTGCAGGAAGTCACCTCTGCCGCTTTCACTCTTCCTCCTTTGCTCCTCGGCGCCCTTTTGCTTTGTCACCCTGCCACCCCTCACCGTACGTTTCTGATGAGCCTTCGCTTTCTCTCCTCAGTCATGCGGAGGAATCCCTTCGGCGTGGACATCTGCTGCCGGAAGGGCTCTCGGAGTCCACTGCAGGAGCTCTACAACCCCACCCAGGTAAGCTGCCAGGGGCAGAGGGGACCCCCAAGCCCAGAAATGCTACTCCTTGGGGGATTTAAGACAACAGTCCCTCTGTCTGGCTCGTCCTCTTCCGTGGTGGTTTTCTCTGTCTTGCGTTCTTCTGTCTAATGGGGCCCAAAGTTCGAGATGCTCGAATTCACAGGGATGCTCTGGCATCCTGGTGGGCAAGGCTCTCCAACCTGCCTGGGTTTTGGAACCACTGCTGGGTCTGTAAGTGCCCACGGTGCCTTGCCATCTCCCTCTCAGCAGCCTCTGGGAAGGCTCAGGTGTGGTGAAGGTGCCACCCTGCCCCCATGGGGGGGTTCTTAAAGCCAGTGATGTTGCCCCAGGAGTTCCAGCTCAGAGCCTGTATGGCAAGACCTGTTGCGTGTGGAGGGGCCAGTGATGGTCTCAGTAAATTGAAAGTGGTTATGAGAAAGTCTCTTGAAGCAAAGCAGACTTATAGGAAGCTGGGAGCTGAGGGAGGCAGCCCAGTTGCCATGGTGATGACTGATGCCTGGTGGTCTTGATGGGTTTTGGGGGCTGGGCTTCTGCGGGACTGTTAGTTAGGGCTTAGCACCAAGAGCGGGGGAAGGAACATGTAATGGTGATGCCACGGGCTTCGGTAGCTGCTGGCTCCTGCTGAGGCACTCGTCTTTGAGCTTTTGTATCGGTTCCTTCATTTCGTGGCGCTATGGCCCCAGGTATGTGGTGGGGGAAGGTAGTGCTTACCCTCAGCAGTGCTGAGTTTGCAGAAGCCTGGCTGAGACTTGGGCCTGAGAGCTTGCTGAGCTTACATCTCCCACCTCTCACCTGTCTGTCCTCCCTCTGGACAGACAGACAGACAGACAGACACACACACACACACACACACACACACACACACACACACACACTGAGCCCACATCTCCCATCTCTTACCTGTCTGTCCTCCCTCTGGACAGACAGACAGACACACACACACACACACACACACACGCACACACACACTGAGCCCACATCTCCCACCTCTCACCTGTCTGTCCTCCCTCTGGACAGACAGACAGACAGACAGACACACACACACACACACACACGCTGAGCCCACATCTCCCACCTCTCACCTGTCTGTCCTCCCTCTGGACAGACAGACAGACAGACAGACACACACACACACACACACACGCTGAGCCCACATCTCCCACCTCTCACCTGTCTGTCCTCCCTCTGGACAGACAGACAGACAGACAGACAGACAGACACACACACACACTGAGCCCACATCTCCCATCTCTCACCTGTCTGTCCTCCCTCTGGACAGACAGACAGACACACACACACACACACACATGCTGAGCCCACATCTCCCATCTCTCACCTGTCTGTCCTCCCTCTGGACAGACAGACAGACAGACACACACGCACACACACACTCACGCTGAGCCCACATCTCCCATCTCTCACCTGTCTGTTCTCCCTCTGGGAAAGGGGCACCTGTATTTGTGCATCTGAGGCGACTTCACAAAGCACGCACCACATATGCACATGCACACACACACATGCCCATATGCACTTGCATACCCACATGGGCACACATGAATACACACGTGCATGCACGTGTGCACACCCACACATGCACCACACGTGTACGCACACATGCACACCCATGCATACATATGTGCATACTCAGACACACACACACACACAGTCATGCTCCCCATCACAGAGGAGCTCTGGTGTGATGTGGTCAGAAGCCCCGGGGTTGCTGCAAACTCAGTTCCCCGAGGCTCCATTCTGGGCCTTCTGAACCCAGCAGGGAGTTAGATGCAGACGCCGTTTCTTCGCCACCTGCTTTATCTGTAGCTTTACTGCGTGCCAGGGAAGGGCTGTCCCTTCCAGTTGAGACCGTCGAGAGGCAGCGGGGTAGGGACAGGTAAATTGTGCCAATTGTGCCATTTTCCTGCTGGCTTCGATGCTGCTTAGCAATTTTTTATTGGGGACACCAGGCTACAGTATCCCTAATGGGCTCCAGTTTGGTAGGACCCCAAGTCTTATCGGTTCTGGGCAATCAGAGGGATTTGTCTGTTGGCTTGCGACTGCATCTGCTTTCCCTCAGAGCTTTGGAACCCGGTCTGCCTGAAGCGTACCTGTTTAGGGCTTTTGTTCGGGACCCAGACCCTCTCCCAGCTAGTCTGCACCTCCGGCTTTGACAAAAGTTTTCCGGGTGCCAGGCTGGTGCTCATTGTTCCTCTCCCTTGGCCCACATGCTCCGTGCATTTTCTTTCTCTCTCTCTTTCTTTCTCTCTTTCTTTCTCTCTTTCTTTCTTTCTTTCTTTTTTCTTTCTTTCTTTCTTTCTTTTTTGACTTTTTGGGTCACACCCAGCGATGCACAGGGGTTACTCCTGGCTCTGCACTCAGGAATTACTCCTGGCGGTACTCGGGGGACCATATGGGATGCTGGGACTCGAACCTGGGTTGGCTGTGTGCAGGGCAAACACCCTACCTGCTGTGCTATTGCTCTAGCCCCATGCTCCGTGCATTTTCCCCATCAAAGTCAGGGGTCTGTGGCTCTGCTGAGGAGTTTTTATGGGCGACACCCCAGGCTGGGAAGAGCCTGTCTCTGAAGCGGGGACCCGGCCTGGGAGCAGGATGTCTTGTCCTGGCCTATGTCCTGCTCCTAGACAGTGTCGGGCCAGCCTAGTGGGGTGCCCCAGGAGCCTGGGATGGAGAGAGGCAAGTCCAGGCCTGAGCTCCTGCCTGTGGGTCTCTCTGTTGACTTTTGGGGGGCATCAGTTGCAGGGATTGGTCCCCGCTCCTTCAGAACCATCGTGGACCCCTGTCTGGAACAGCAGCCAGAGAGTGTTTCTGCAGGAAGTTCTCCTCATTTCCTCGGGATGTTCTTCATTCTCAGACCGCTTTCCTTGACAGGCTGCAGTTCCAGTCCATTGCCCTGATGCCTGTGTCTTGGGACATGAGGGTGTCAGGTGGGGCTTCAGAGGACAGGGGCCTGTTGAGGCCCTGAGATGTGGACGTGCTTGTCCCTGTCAGGCTTGGTTCTGGACCCTCATGTCCCCATCGGCCAAGCTGCTAACACATCTGCTGGCCCAGGGGGATGTTATCACCGAGACAGTCCCCAGACCCCTCCTCAAGATATGCTATAACAATACCCTTTGGGTGTTGCCCAGCTACTGGGCTCTGTAACCTGGGAGCAAAGGAACCGTTTGTTCGAGATAAACAGAAACCACCACAGAGGCAAGAAAGTCCCCGTCTAACTGACAGTGTCCAGAAATGAAAGACCAGCACACTGATGTGTGTAGAAATTCCTGAACCTATAGTACACCCCAACTTGGACACTGCACCCCATTTTGGGTATGGGGAAACTGACGATGAGATCTTGCTATATTTGCCGGAAATCTGCCTTTTTTAGCGGGACCACACAACCAGCTGTGCTAGAGGGTCTATTTCTGGGGTGGTACTGGCAGGAGTCAGTCCGTAGCGGTTCTCGGGGGCGCAGAATGTGCCCAGAACCAATCCTGGCCATGCATGCATGCACCAGCCTCACCTCAGAGTTCTTACCTAGTGAGAAGCAGGAAGTATTCAAATCCAGGGCGAGGACAGAATTGTGTAGAGCGTTTCTTAACTCTGTTCTCTTCGCAGAGATGGTAATTTTCCCTTGGCAGAAATCATCCCAACTCCTCTCAAGAAAAAAGAAAAAAAAAGAGAGAAAGAGTCCAAATTTTTTATTGGACAAAGGCTTAAAAGCTCCCTTAGGAAAATTGGCTCTAATCTGATTCTCTTGTCCAAGGTTTTTAGTTTTTATTTTAGTGCCTTGCAAAACACCTCACCATTGAAACAACAATCGGTTTGAAAAAGAAAAAAAAAAAGTTTGTAGTCGTTATTCTTAGAGAAAGTGTGCTCTGATGTCTTATAATTTTCCTGGTTCTCTGCTGTCTGCCTGGCCCCAAAATAAAACGTAATTGCCCACCCCGATCAGCTGGAGCCAAGTCACCGAAAGTTCAGGAGTTGCCAGCTGCGTCTTTGTGAACCGTGTTCACATCTGTGTGTGCGCGGGCCAGGCTGCTCCGGCAGCCCTCAACAGGGTGTAATTGCCCCGAAATGCCAGCGAGGGCGAGACAGCTTGTCCTCCCGCCGCGCCCACCGCCGGGACCTCTTGTGGGTTGCCTGCCATCCTCCCGGCCTCACTCATGTGGTTCGGCCCTGCCCTCTCTGCTGCTTTCTTTAGCTCCCCTGGCTCTGTGATTACCCTGTTCCAAGAAGACAGATGCCCGGCTCAGGGCTGAGCTGGCCTCAGTCAGTGTGCGGAGGCTGGAGACGGGGCCCGGAGCACTCTGGAGCCAGGACTGGGCAGCTGTCCCTTGGTGGGGGTGGGGGGTCCGAGAGTGACAACTCCCCCGTCTTCAAGAAGAAGGCCTGGCAGGTTTTCTGGGAGCACCACTGGAGAACAGTGAAGACACTGAGGGCCAAAGAGACGGTATAGAGGCAGAGATGCTTGCCCAGCAGCAAGCATGGCCATGACCTTGGTTTGAATCCCAGCACTGTGTCTGATCTGCCAATAGTACCAAAGTGCTCTCTGAGCACTGAGCCAGGCGTGGCCCTTGAGCACTGCTTGGGAATCCCACTCCCAAGAAAAAGAAGGAAGGGTGAGGGGTAAGATGGTGGGGCACAGCTGAGTCTCCGTGATCTGACGGGCTTTGCGGGCTCACGCTTCAGGGGTTTTAGAGAAGGCCAGGGCGGTGGGGGGAGGAAGGGAGGAGAAGAGGAAGAGGAAGATTTGCTTTTCATCGATTGTCTCATACAGCATTTCTCAATTGGGAGGGGGGATCAAATAACCCCCGGAATATCCCGAGAGGACCATAAGTGAGTATGTGTTGATCGGGGCCCACAGCATGAAACGAGGGAGCCAATCGCAGGACCCAGGGGGCTCCAGGAAGAAATCCGGGTCGGAAGGGGGCCCCCGTGGGAAAAAGACTGAGGGGCACTAGTGATTCTTGGAGATG